CTGATAAAGTGTTTTTTTAGAAAAATGGCAAACATTGTTGGTGAAAACTTAGTTTGGCCTTGAAATAGATTGTGAGACTTTAGCATCAGATTTTATCACAAACTAGTGTAGCATTACCTCTTGGTCATTATTTTAAAGGTACTTACTTTGGTGCCTTCTATTGATAAAAGGGAAAAAATGTTTAACATTAAAGTTGAGATTGCTAAGTTTGTTCATTTTGTATATGATTATTTAAATTTGATAAATTGATCTGATTTATAGTTCAGGTTGAATGTGCATAGAAAGTTCTTGACATATATTCCTCCTTCCCTCCTGGAAAATTCAGTTAAAGACAAGATTAGAAGGAGTATATGGACTGAGTTATTTAGCCAGCATTATCTATTCAATTTCTATGGTAAAAATACTACTTACTGCCCCATTTTAAAGATTAAGAGCTTTCAAAATAGAGTAAAATGTTACTCTAATGGTTGAAATATTTAATTCATTTTTTCATCAAATCTGTATGTTAGACATTGTTCTGGGTAATGTCGATAAAACAATCAACAGTTCATATCCTTTGGAGTTTGTTTTCCCTCTTTTCTTTACCGTTTGAGAATAATTACTGGTAAGACTATAAAAATTTTCAGTAACAACACTTGGAAAGGAATTTTTTGCAGTTTTTGGCTGGGGCTGGGTTTGAAACCATCAGTTCTGGCATATGGGACCGGCGCCCTATTCCTTTGAGCCACAGGCGCCGCCCTTAAAATTCATTTTTGAATAAATTTACTTTGGCATGAAGTATGTAGCTCAGAGAATATTAGAATATTTGTCTTAACTTTGGAATAATAAAATATAATAAAATGGTCCATATCACTTTTTTAATCTCTGAAAGTAAGTTCTGTGAACTTGAGAGTGAGATGCCTGTGTTAAAACTTTACTACTCATGGAAACTGGATTGGCATATGCTAAAATATAAGCTCCCTGAGGATAGAAACAAGGTCTATTGTCTTTATTGTTATATTCATAGCAATAAATACCATCTATGTACTAAGTCCTCAGTAAAAATTTTTAAATAAATTAGTTAATATTTGATCCATTTCACAGTAATTATGGGGGTGTTTTCAGGAAGATAACTAAAGACTTGATCCATTCTAGTACCTTTCTAAGAATTTAGGGCCATTCTGGAATTTTCTTATTAGAGGAAATTAAATTTTAGATTTTCCCTAATTTCTTTGGAGATCACTCTGTTACTGCTGACTTGGAACTGGTCTGGACCCTTTATAGCCACAAAGGTACAGTAAAGATTCAACAATTTGAGGATTTATTTTTTTTTTTTGAGACAGAGCTTCAAGCTGTCGCACTGGGTATAGTGCTGTGGCATCACAGCTGACAGCAACCTCCAACTCCTGGGCTCAAGCGATTCTCCTGCCTCTGACTCCCAAGTAGCTGAGACTATAGGCGCCTGCCACAATGCCCAGCTATTTTATGGTTACAGCATCATTGTTGTTTGGTAGGCCTGGGCTGGATTCAAACCCGCCATTTAAGGTGTATATGGCCGGCGCCTCAGCCATTTCAGTCACACGTGCCAAGCCAGTTTGAGGATTTTTAATCTCTCCTCCTCACTACATTGTTATGTATCCATTTTGTGTGCAGTCATACGATGCAGTCATACGACGGATGCTTAAATATTGACCATTTCTAAAATTGAATTTAGAACTTCATTGAGAAGGAAGACAAAAATGTAATGTAGGCTCAGGGCCTGTAGCTCAAGTGGCTAAGGTGCCAGCCACATACACCTAAAGTGGCGGGTTT